GTAATTGTTAATTAACAATAGTAACAAATTTCCCAAGAGCTATTTTATGAATTGGGGAAAGTAATTTTAGATTAAATACTCTTGATGACACTGTTGAAGACAAGTATACACCAACAATCTATTGACAAAGGAAGGTACATTTTAATATTTTAAGGTATGAAATTCACCGTTAAAGAGGACAATGCATTGATTGCATGGTCGTTATGTTTCCTACATTCGTCTATTTTTTATTTGATGAGTATTAAATGAGGGAAAAAATGAATAAATTTATTTTCAGCCCTCATGTGACTGAGTATCACATTATCACTTAGTTGTGTTGCAGGAAAATACATGATTTGTGTGAAAGCACAATTATCTTGGGTACCAGTAAACAAAATGTCAACAGCTCAACAAAATTAATCAATAGAGAGTCTTGTAGAAGATGACACATGACAAATTACCAGTGAAATACAACCATATAGAAAGGTGACAATGATTGAGGGGTTTAGATCAAATTACTGTCAAAATAAAAACGATTACATTGGAGAAATGCTTCTAATGGAGAAAATATATTTGATCACTGTTGGGTCATTGAATTGACATGTACTGGTAAATGCAGTACAACCTTCAAAGCAAGGCTGTGCATTGTTATGAATGATAACAAATATGATCTTATCTTATCATTTTATGTAAATAGAACTATTTTCAAAGAATATCTAGAACAGTTTGGTGAGTTTATGGTATAAAGCCATAACCAGCATTGATAAAAGTCGCATGACCGCAGGTTGTATTAAAACAAGCAGCCTGTCGGCTGAGATAGCCCCACCGTTAGCAATGCATATTTCAATTAAGAACTGAAGATATCATTAGAAAATGAACAATATGTATAGTATCAAAGCAATTGGACTTTGTTTTTTTAAAATCAGTCTAAAATATTACTTTTTACCAAAAAATACAAAAATATTCATCAAAATTAGAGAATTTAAGATATCATTATGAAATGAACAAATCTAAGATGTACCCAATGTACATATACACCAAGTATCAAAGCATTCAGGCTTGTAGTTTTCAAGAAGTGGAAAAAGTAAAACATTGACACAGGCGATGACGGACAATCACTCATATGATAAGATCTGCTCGACAAAGTCAACAGCGGAGCTAACAATGAGTGTTTGTTATATTATTCTGATCATAGAAATTTAAAAAGAACTCCAGTGTGCTGAAGGTATTAGAGAAATACTGTATTCACTATATTAGAAGCACATTTTCATTACAAATAAAAAGTAAATGCATTTATTCAATTATTGCATGCAAAAATCATTGAAACATGTCCCATTTCGACCATATACTTGTCTTCTAAGAGAGAAAGTGATAGGATGGTTACAGGTAGCTATGGTTTAACAATTATAATATTTAATGAAATAATGACCATGTATGATGATTTAATATTTTGGTCATATATTTAGCAGAGAAGAAAATTGAAACACCGGTTGCATGTCCCTATCTGCAACAGTAATTAGTACATCAAAGTTATGCATAATACCAGTACAAACACACATGAAATTAATAACAAGCATGTATGGATTTCAACCCTGAAGTAATCAGAACTTCGAATTATCTAAAAGCACATATGTATCTAGTTTCATTAAAATTTAATCAGTGGTACTCAATATATTTGGAGCACCTTATAACTTGGTTAATTTATGCAAATTAGGTAATTAGTAAGCATAAAATTTAACCCTAAACTGAACATGTATATTGTTTATTTCTATGTATCTACATGTGCATGTACCAAGTTTCATAGAATCTTATGAGTGGTTGAGATATTGGTGGAAAAGTTAAATATTGGATAATTTATGCAAATTAGGTCATTCATATACAGATTACAGCTAAAAGTAAATCAGGTCTGCGCAGAGCATTTATCATATGTACCAAGTTTCATTGAAATCTGTTTAATACTACATGAAAAACAAATGAAAATGTTTAAATCTGGTTAATTAATATGTAAATTAGGAAATTAATATGCACATATTTCAACCAAGTTTCATTAAAATCTTATAATTGTTTCTTGAGATATCAAATACATGAACCACAAAGACTCCAATTGTATGCTTCACGCACAGGAGTAAAAAATACACCAAATCATTATCCCTGCCAAACGTACAATTTTTTCAAATTCTAGTGCACTTTTTGTAGGTTTATTTTTTTTAATGAAAACTGACATAAGTTGACTTGGTGTTGACAGGGGAAAAATACATGTGCAGCATATATGTGGCCGGCTGTTCTAAACAAGTATACAATGAGGAGTTTTTGTAAAGACTAAATTTGGCTTAATATTAGTCACCTGTCACAAGACACTACATTTGTATTTTCACAAACTTACAAAATAAAAATTCAGAATATATTTATGTAAAATTAGTAATTCATACATCACCCAACAAATTTAAATTGAAAAAAAAAAATGTTTTTCAAATTGTACATTCAAATAAAATAAAAGCTATAATAACAATCACCTCCAGGAATGATGGAAAAGTTAAATTAATAATAAGTAATTATTTTACAAAAAAAAGATACTACAATTGACTAGTGCGTACCAGGAAGCATACAGCGTATGTAAAATGATTTCATTCATTTCTTCTTCAATAAGCAAATAATGAATATTTTTGTGGACAGAACACCGAACAAAAGCCTACATTAAATACTGCAACTGTTACTAAAAATAGCAATATCTAAAATGGTTGAATCAAGTCATTATAATAACTAGCAGCATATAACAGCACCATCAATAATCAATTTGAAATTGAGTAAATGCTACAAAGCTGCTTCTCAAGGCAGTATCATTATAAAAATTTGAACTTGTACTTAGCTGGCACATGACTGAACAGATCTAATGCCCTTGGTAGGTCTGATTAAAATTGGCAAACACCAGGGAAGGGGGCTCAAAATTGATGATGTATCCGTTCACTGAAAAGCATTAGTAACCCAAATTGCTAGGTTCGTTCTATTATTCACAGTGGAGTGTCCTCACTATGTGAAATGTAAAATCCACTCATTGTGACATTCAACAATAACCTTGCTATTTGTCATTCATGTCTATCATATCACAATGACCTACTTCAGTGAGAAAGCTATCTCCACTAAGTTCAGTTTCATCCACTAAACCTTGCAATGTTTACACAGATGGATAAACACTTCACAAACCAATACACTCATGATAAAAATACAAGTTAACCAGAAATAAAAAGACAATGTTAGAAAAATACGCACCTATTTGTTAAAAACAAATACTGTACGACCCAACCACTCAACTCAATGAGCCAATGAATTAGAAAGCTGAATACTTTTGAACTTGAATGGCATATTAAATGAAGCATATAATACTAACATATTTGCATGTAATTAACATGCATACAATTCACATATGATATTGATAATTGTTGTTACAATTAACATCGACAGTTTACTTAGTGATTGATTACAGGTGAAAACTATAATCATACCACAAGTTGTAGCAGAAGCATCACACAGAACTCTCCTCACAAAAATAAGATTTACCAAAAAAAAAACATTTTATGTATCGAAATTAATGACAGGTACTTACAGCAAATTCTAATTCATATTACTAGGAGAGAGCCATTAAATTGGAACAAATATGCCATCCATTTGTGCAGAGGTCAAAGTTCACCAGTAGCTAGGGCTTTTAAAGGGGTTGAAGGGTTTATCTGATTAAGTCAACATAAAAACACATTGCCCACAGCACATATGGAACATATAAAATAAAATTCCAGCTAACAGCATTGACAATCCAAATATTTTTTTTTTTTAGTAAAAATCCCAGACACCGCATAATTTACTTAAATATACACAGTAATGAGTGGCATACACGAAGTAAATGTGATATCACTTAGAGAGGAAAATGATAATTCCCTTGTATGGTAATTTTATCTGTATACATCTTTTTTTAATTTTAAATAGCTAGTTTATTACACTATATAAATATAAAAAAATGCATTATAGTGGCTGAAAATTTAAAGGCTTTAACAATGGGTAATTTCAAAAATAAATAATGCAAAGGCCATAAATTGAAAAGAAACTAGAGGGGAAAAAAAATGTAATTTATGATGTATGGGCAAGTCCTGTAATTCCATGTTAATGGAGCAAAGTTGAATGAAATCCAGTAATATTCAAATTGAAAAAAAAAAGATAATTAAGAAAATACTTGAATTGTTATTAGGATTATTTAAATTCAATTGCATACTGAGAAATATTAATATATTTGGGGATTATTATAAATTTGAGAATTTTTTAATTACAAAGTACACATGTGATTTATTTATTCATTTTAATCAGCCATAATATAGCTATTTGAAATAATCATAATAAACAGATTAGAATTAAACAGGGAAACTAAAATTGTTGTTGAAGAAATTTGTTAGCAGCCTTGTTACAGATTACATCACGTCAAAGTGGCTGAGCAAAGGTGATTTCATGTACAGGCAAGCATATATTCAAACAAATTAATCAAAATGACCCATAAACAATTTAAGATGGGTTAATTTTTGACATTTTTTAAGTAAATATAGAAGGTGTAGACTTAAAAAAAAAAAAACGTACAACTGCAATAAATAAGATTTGGTCACGGTGATTTTTAAAAAAAGCCCACAAAAAATTCTACTTGTTAAATTTGACCAGTTTATTTTTAAGGATACAAAAAAAAAGACAACTAATTTATACTGACATTTGATATATTAATAACCTCATTAAAACAGAAATATTACTATCTGTGAATTCAATGGATTCTGAAGAATTAATAACATGGCTATTGTGAGTCATCTTTAAATACAATATTAAATACTAGACTTGTACGTTTTCAACTGAAAGGTCATCCAAGTCTTGTAAATCGACAGTAACTTGCACATGACAAGTGAAAAACAGTTTAATTCTGTGCAAAATCCCTAATATAATATTATGACATTTTTTTTTCAAAGGTAGAGAAATTAAATCCAAATAACAAGACCTACCCTAGTACTATCTTTCAATGTTATAAACTCTGAGCTGCTGTGGAATGTTGAAACTGTGTAAAAAGTTTCCACCAAACACTAACGAATCTTCAGGTGTAAAAACAGCATGTATCCAACCTGTAAAAAAAAAAAAAAATTTCAGATACCGGTAACTCAATTAAAGTTGAATGGAAAAAAAAAAAAATGGGAGGAAGATAAATTATGATCTTTGTACCAAAGTTATCAAAAATCTAGAAATGAAGTGTAAAAACACCTGTTTAGAAACACAAGGACAGCAATAAAATGAAACAAATCTCCTTACTCCTGTCAATACAGGAAAGTGAAAATAAAATAATTACAATATCTAATTGAAATGGATCGCAGTACAAATTAGAAAACTGCAAATAGAATTTCTCCACGCTATTGTCATAATAATCTAATCCCCGTCACAGAAGCCATACAGTGCAAACAAAAGCCTGGAGGCTCTGTGACTGAAAAACAGCAGATTGGAGCAACACTACAGCTAAAATTTAAATCTATCCACAACGCAACAGCTAAAAATACAAATGTAGTGGGGATTTTGCAAAAAGACTAACCATAGTTATGAATTTAACTCCCAAATACATAATATATACAGATTAAGTCACAGCTGGCAAATTAAATAAACAGTGCCTAGTCATTAACTAGTTGCTTTTAGAAAGGGAAAAAACAAATGATTGAATACAAATGTTCTTTGATCGATTATTGTGCAAGATCTTTTAGACAGATGACAGCTTTTTTGATGAGTCTCGCTGGGGATTAACCAATGTTTGAAATAATGCGCAGTAGAATTGAAACACAATTAATTTTACAATGCTCTGAAAAGTCGATTGTTATATATTTTTTTTTTTAAATTGTGCATGAAAATTACCTTAAAATCAAGACGGCATCTTCGTTTAGCTTGTTATTAATAGTATGAATAATATTTCAAGATATAAGCAAAACAAGAGTAGTGCAGTGATGTCTGATGATTTTTAAATGGAAGCCAAGTAATGAAGAGAGAATGGATGTGCAGGTAC